TTGTTGGTGGGACAGGAGCTGGGTGAGCTGGTTGTGGAGCTGGCTCAAGCCAGCTCTGCTTTTTTTTCCATTATAAATGGAGGAGCAGATCCAATTTTTCTCCATTTATAATGGAAGTATTGGATTGCCAAAACTCGTACAAATATAGGTTTTGAGGGGAGGAGAATGGAAATTCCATGCATCAATCTTTGCTATTCCTTGATAATTATAATCAGCTGAATCCGACTAACCATGCCTTGACTATACCTAAGAAACTTATAACTGTTAACCAAAGTGGTTAGAATTTTTAGTTTGACCAAGATAGTAACAGTGGAGTGCTTAAGTCAACCAACAGAGGGATGATAAGGCAATAGATTCGAGAGGAAGACAGGATCATGTTTATGTATCATCTCGTGAATATTGGCTTCCAATTGGTTTAACCAAAAACTACGCATACCTGGGTTAGGAAGTGATTTGGTGTCTTCTTCCTCTGAGTCGCTGCTCTTGTGAATCACACTGAGGCTTTCAATTGAGTTATAGATCAAGAGTAAGCTGTACACCAAGCCGTTGATCCAAATCTGATTTTGAGAATGAATGGTTTGGGTGGAGTAGCAACAAGGATTGAAGAGGTATTGTATATGCTTGCAGATCTTTGGGTCACTTAATAATGGACATGTCGAGTTAAATTCAATCTCTTGAAAGATGATCGGCGTGGAACTCCTATCGTGCCAGGCGGTAGAGATGGTCGGTCCGCATCCGGATATCTGATGGTGATTTCAGCGAAATTGCACATCCGCATCCGCACCCGCACCCGCTAGCGGGTATCCGTCGGCCGCAGCGGGTATCCTCGGATATGTGTCCTCTAAAGGGCCGGCGACGGACCGGCTGGAAGGGCTTCCTTCCAGCCGGCCATCTCCCCTTCAGGCCGCGGGTATCCTTTGGGATACCCGGATACCCGCCAGCGATTTGCGGAAAAGGGGCCATCCGCACCCGCTGGCGGGTATCCGTTGGCACAGGCGGGTATCCGCCAGCGGATAACGGGTATCCGCGACGGATACCCTTTGACCATCTCTACCAGGCGGTAGGCAGTTGGTTGAAGGGATGGTGCTTTGAGGGCTGCCTTCAAGTGGGGTCCGGATAAATTGAGCTCTGATCTGAACAAAATGTGTTGGGGTTGGTTGGTTTTCTGAGAGGAGACAACAGAAACTGAGTTCTGTGGCGGTTGTTGAGGTTGAGGATCTTTGAAGGTGAATATGAAGATTGGATGAATCAATAATAATAATAAGATCAATAAGAATTGATGGGTCTATCTTGGATCAGATCAGAGTGCCATGCTTCCCCATCATATCAGTTCAAACTGAACTTTGACTCTGGGGAGTGACATGTCACAGACATGTCATCACATCCCTAACTACAACACAACTCAACCAGAAAACAAAACAACACAACACAACACAACACAACACAACACATCAAAACACAGAACAGAACAAGACAGAAAAAAACAAAACAAAACAAAACAATCAAGAGTGAAATAAACCAACAAATTAAGATGTCTTAGGACCAAGAAAATTAAACAAGACTGTCTACTGAGTAGGTGATTTGAAAAAGATAATAAAGAATGATAAAATGATAAAATAAAAATTAAAAATAAAAATAAGATGAATGAAAAATAATATGAAGATAAAATAATCAGAGGAAATGAAATAATAAAAGGAAACAAAAACATAGTAAATAATATAATGAAGGAAACTGTTGGACTGAGAGGGGATTTGAGGTGACATTGTTGAAATCTTGAGGCTTGAGGATATTGATAAGTTGAAAATTGAAATTTGAAATTTGACCTTGAGGGGGTCTGTACCGTTTAGAACACCACATCTGGTTGGCCGGTGGATGATCTTCTGGAAGCAAGTCAGAGATGTGAGTCCTCAGTTGAACAATTGGGCTAGGGATTTGATTTGAAGGATGTAAAATGGAATTTTTTGGCTAGGTCCGTCCAGGATCCAATGAGCCTCTTTTGGCTATCATCCGGGTCACCAAAATGGGGAGATTTAGATGGTGTGGCAAGAAGAGGAGCATTGGATGGATTGGCCAGAAAGAGGAGATAGGTAGAAGTGACCAAGATCCAATGGGAGAAAATGTCGGAACCAATCAGGTTGTGAGCTTTGTAGAAAGGTGGTGTTGAGGGTACATAGAGCTAAGAAATCGTGCTTGTTGCTTTTGATACATTGGTTCTTGTAAGACATAAGCAATGAATCAATGATCAAATCCTAAATACTACCCATACTGGTGCTGAAGGCAGCTGCTTTGAGGAGACTGGTGGCTGAGTGTAAGAACATACCAATGAGTAATTTGGGTGGCCTCAATCAACAAAGGGTGAAGCCACCGAGGAGCAAACCCAGATTGGTTTGAGATTGGTAACACCTCAAATTCAGCAATCTTGCCATGATTGCAGGAAATACCTACTAGGGCATAGAATGCAACCACCTGGATTTCACCACCAAGACCATCTCCACCAATTTCCAGACAGACGGACTCCCTACATCAGACTGGCTTCATTGATAATCAATTTTGAAAGAGTGGTGGTCTTGTCGGTTGTATGGGTATAGATTGCCAGAGCCAAGAGTCGGACGATGGCAAATCGCCAAACATCGAGTGAGTTCCTATGGGCCATGGCGATCCAGATCCGATGAAAGGGTTTGAATTGAAAGTCGATGGGGAGCTGATGTTGCTTGCTGAGATCAGCCAAAATATCCTGTGGCCACCTCCCAGAAGCAATGGTGTTGACGGAAATGTGAATTGTGGCTAAACCCTCAACTGGAGCAGGGGCTGGGTGGGAGAAGTACGAGGGGCAGAAGATTTGAAGTCATTACATCACTGTATATAAGTAGTAGATAATTCAAAGAGATCAGTTGGAAAGAAAAATCAAATTTTGATTAAACAGACATAGTAGAAGGAGCAAGAGATCAAGACGTATGTCATAAGAGATCTCTTTACCATCCAAATCGTTCTCCTTCTAATTGGTCTTGAACTTTCCATCAGTTTCCTCATGGTTTTCCAAGCTACATTGCTTATGGCCTTACCCAACCAACCGGAAGCCATCTTGGAAAAAGTTGGCAGAGGGGAAGACATCCAAGAATCCAACGTAGCACCAGATCAAACCTGCTAATGAAAACTCACCATCAGTTTCCTCATGGCTTTCCAAGCTACATCACTGATGGGAAAGCCATCCATCTTGGAAAATGTTGGCAGAGGAGACAACATCCAAGAACCCAACGTAGCACCAGATTGAACCTGCTACAGCTATAACGAGAAAGCTTGCGGGCTCAGAAGATAGAAAATTAAAAAAATAAAAAAAACATCGGCTGCAGTCGGAATATTTGGAAGAATACAGCCAGATGTACAGGTTGTCATGTACTGGCCAGCGGCACCGATGGGACCTGACCGGCCCCCCTGGGGGGTAGCTCTACCCTAGCGATGCCATTGACTGGGGGGTGGATGGAGTAAACTTTCCATCAGGATTCTGATGGTGTTACCCTCATCAGCTGAAAGTGAGTGGAAAAAAGTTAGCTGATTTGATTGGAGGTAATCCATACATACATGGACCTGTATTCTTCCAAAGCTTCCATTTGTTTTCCGTATTATTTTTTTATTTTTTTTATTTTCTGTCTTCTGAGCCCGCAAGCTTTCTCGTTATAGCTGTAATGAAAACTCGTCATCAGTTTCCTCATGGTTTTCCAAGCTACATTGCTTATGAGGACCTCCGCACCAATAAACCGCTGTCCCAAGCTACCACTTTCGTAGAAGAGGGGTAAAGCTAAGATGTTGCTTTTCAGGATCAAGCAGATTCCTCTTTCCTACAAGTGAGATGCATTGGTGAAATGTCGGTGAGGATACCACCTTGAGTTGCGCAATGAGTCTTGACCAAGCTGTGATGGGAAGGATAGAAAAATAGGTTGTCTGTACAGCATCAAAAAACAAGAAGTGCAGTTGATCAGTTGAGAAAACTAGACAAAATATCAAAGTAAAAGAAAAAACAGAAGTACACACCTACACACACCTGGCCGTCCCTTATGTGTCAGTTGGGATAGTCCTGGAGAGTACATGCACCCAGCTGTGAATCAGCGATCAAGTGGTACTTGTGGAGGGGACTTGGGGAGGCCACCGGTGTTTACACAAATGCGCAGATGGATTCCCGCACCCGCAGAAACAGGTTTGGCAGAAGCCAGCCTGATCCTTGTCTGGATTTGGTCACCACATATATTCAGATTTCAGAAGCCCAAGGAAATTGAGCGTATTTTAAAGCTGAGTTAAATATGTAATCAATTAATTTCCATGGCCACCAAAATCTCTTACTTTGGAAAGATCTAAGCACATGGCACAGAAATATTTCTTGGGAAAATTGGCCACTTTATAAACAGGTATGTGAGTCAGAATTTCCCACTCATTGCACATGGGTTTTACAAAGATTCTTGATTTTTGTGAAATCTTGTCCAATAATACAAATTGATGTTCTATTATTATGACTTTGAGGGTCTTGGTCACTCTGAATGTTTGATAAGCAGATCTGTTTGTATTAATCTTTGATTAGCAGTTTGCTTAATTCTTTGATTATGTGTGATAGTGCTCTTGATAGTTGATTGACAGTGCCTTGGGAACTCTTAATGTCAGCCTTAGAGCCAACCAAGCTGGCCAAAAGACTGCCAAAACTGCCCATTTCTACTCAAAATATTATCTTATCTTTTTTATCTTAAGACTTTTAACCTTTCTGACTTCAGAAATGAATTCCTGGTGTAAAATTAACCCTAGTCACCACTGATCACTTTTACCCAACTCCATTCCTTCATTGACTTTGTAACAATTCACAGTACTCCAAGAATTATTCCAACCTTTAGGTTTCCGCTCCCTCTACCACATGTACATACCAGATTACATAATCCAACTGTGAAAATCCTCTCTGAGCTTGTTGATTCCGCTTCCAGAGGATTTTCAGACTCCAGACCAACACAGAACACCAACAACCAGAACCAGATCAGGCCAACACTTATCCAACAGAAGTACTCCACTTTTCCCACCTTTCCCACTACCACGTGTCATTGGTCTCATTAGTAAGTAACTTCTCATAAGTTTTAGCTGGCATCTTCCTGCTTGTTTCTCTTCTCTGTTTCCCTCAACCCCATTTCACTTCTTCTCATAACCAAAGCCCCGATCCAAGAAAGCAAGCTTTAGCTGCCATAAATTCTATTCCTCTTGTTTGGTAGTATAACTGGAAAACTACCTAGGTTTCCCTTCAAAGAACCTTGATCATCCTTGATCTAAAAAATTGTGGTTGACCTGATTCATCAGTGTCAATAACCCATTTCAGTTTCTGTTGATTTGGAGGCGTAGAGTTAGCTCCGCTTATAACCAGCCATCCTTAAAGGAAAGTAAGACTGCCAAACATTAATCATCATCATAAAAGAAATAAAATAACAAAAATATTATTCTTTTCTATCATCCTTCTCTTCCCTTTTTTCTTACTTTTATTTGTATTCCCTCTTCTCTTGAGAAATACATATAAAAGTGCCCCCCATATCTTGTGTCCTGCTGTCACTATAGATACCCAGGCTCACACTTAACCAGGATTAATGATACCCCAGTAATCCTTATGAAAAATTCTTGGGGTCAGAAAATATAAAATTGATGAAGGGTTTTTTTCTTATTGGGTGTGGTATTTCCATCAGTCAGTGATTCTAAACTAGTTCATTTCAATTGCAAAGGAAGTTTTGGTTTGATTGATAATGGAAAAGACTCAGATTCAACAGAACAGATGTGTTTTTTTCTGTTAAAAAGGACAGCAAGGAATTATAGAAAATTTTCATTTGGACTGTATGACTGAAAACAATGCAATCTTGGATTAATTGTCAATGGCACATTCAAATTTCAAATAGAATATTTCCAATTTGGAAGAATCAAAATTCTCAAGCCTCAATTGTCACAGATTAATGTGAGTATCCTGCCATAATTACTTAAGTCTTCAGGTGGGCTCAAGAAAATAGGCACTACACATCTATCAATTTGTTAATTAATTTTGGTTTGACTTGGTACAAATTCATGTTAGTTTGGGACTTTAATAATGTGATCAAAGCCAAAGGCCAAGTTTTTCTCTTCAGGTTCTAAAAATTGATGGTCTTGATAATTTCAAAATGCCTGAATGAATGCCACCAAATCTCTTATCTGAAGTAGAGATTTGGAATACTGCCTAAACAAAAATCAATAAATTATGGAACCATGATCAATATTTCTGGAAAGAAAAAACTTGATATACCCTTGGGCCTCAATTTTGTTCCAAATATGAAACTAACAGAGCATCATATTTCTTTCCATGTAGTATGTATTTTTGAAAAAGAAGGACCTGGTTTATGAACAATGAGTGGTAATTCAATATAGAGCTGGATGAATTTCAGTGGATCACATTCTGAATCTTTTTGTGGTTTTCCTGGTCAGATATATGAAGACATGGGAAAATTTGTCTAGCCTTATCTCTCAAATATTTTGTTAGAGACACTATGCCAGGTCTATTTAGATAGGCTAGGGCTAAAAATGTGGACTGGGTCAACAAAAAGATTCCTTTTGCATTACAATTATTTTTGGTTTCTGCAAGGACTACTTGAAGCACAATAGAAATGAAAATGGGTTTGGCATGGAATAGGATTTGGATAATCACGAGCATCACTCAAGCATTTGATCACTCATGCTCATGCTCATCTGAGCCACCTACAAATTGCAAAGATATAGACACACATGAGTTCTTTGGTCAATTGATTTAGATGGAACATAAAATATTGAAGGTAATTAACACTGCATTCAACTTTACACAACAGCATGTTGCTTCTTTTATTCCAAAAGTACGAGGGGGGTTTTTCAAACTCACAGCATGCCCCAAAATTTCCATCTCCTTGAGAATAATTGCTTCACCTTTGGTTGATTTAAGCAAAGCGGCATTAAGATGTGGGAATGGAGTGCAGGGGTCATTTTCTTTAGCAAGTGGATTGGTGAGCTTCTCAAAGGGTGACACAGAAGAAATTTTTGGTCTTCCTGGGCTAATGGAGAAAAAATCTTGTCAATTTGGCCGATATGCTCATGACTGTTGTGTCTGAAGTAGATGGTAGAATTTCCAGGATGTTTGCAAATGACGGAGTATCTTTTTTTGAATTGCTCAATTGATTGAAAGAATTGAAACTTCTGTGGAATATTCGTGTTGTACTCTGGAAATCTTTTAAGCCATTTAGTGTAGTCTTCCTCGATCAAGCCTTTTTCCACATTTAGGTTCATCGGCTTGGATGTCTGCTTCAGCAGGAGATCGATAAGGCCTTTTGGAATCCTGTCATTCATTTCTAGCTGTCCACAAAGCAAAGCAAGGAACTGGGCCTTCATATTCCATTGGGTGAAGATGGCAAGAGGCAATTCAGCTACAATTACCATAACAGTTGGAAAATGTGAGTTTGAAAAAAGCCCTACAAAAAGTGCATGGGATCATGAAGACATACACAAATGATTGTTGGTGGATATTTTTCCTAGAATCCCATTGAGGCGCCCTTGAGCCCATGAAGCAGTGGACAATGGAGGGCCAAACCGAGGGATCAGCTGAGGGTAGTGCTGTGAAAGATGAATGTTGGGCTTGGGATTCAGTGCTTCACCTGACCAATGTTCAAGTAAGGATTTTTGATAGCCTTTCATCAAATCAGAAAACTTTACAATTTCCAAATTAGATATTGACCTAGAGCTTAACAAGTTTGTTATTCCAATAAGACTAGTTGTACTTTGGAGGAGAACTTGAAGGTCTGCGTTATTAGAGCTGAAAGTTCACAGTGGCACTAGAACAAGAGGAAAATAGATGCATGTAATTATAAACCATTCAGAGCCCTTGAGTGTCTTGCTTCCTGAGGATCCAAACTGCTTGGGCACTCAAGTAACGGTAGAGGGCAAGTCAATTTTTTTGTATGGCCACTTGAATAGCCTCAAGCTCTTCATACAATAAGTGGGGACCCAGAGCTGGTTTATCCTTTCCGGACAATTTTACATCTTTTCTTTTGATGTGCTTTCAGGTCCAGAAGTTTTTT